TGAGGGTGATAGTGATAAATTAATGCATTATGTTAATTATAATTTATCATTTTGACTTGATATGTTTCATAAATATATAATTTTGGAAAAGTTAACTGAAGTATTTTTTTAGTACAAAGGGGCCTGAAGGACTCATTTTCGTCTTGTTGTTTTGCATTGAATCACTATAAATGTCCGCTTCACTTTTCAAACTGTTGCCACCAAATGTTAGAGTCCGCATTATATTTGAAGAAATTAAATAATGAAAAATCTGCATAAATAAATGTCTATTTCTCGCATTGTGATAAAACAATGGTACATACAGCCATCGAATTTTGAATGACGTAATCCTTCTACGAATATGGGCATGTGAAAGACCAAATTTGAAATTTGCTTTATGATCGATTTCATATTTTGTAAAACTTCAACAAACTAAAGGATTTTGAAGCGAGTAATGGCAACACTCTACGAGAGAACAAAAAACCTTTTTACCTCCAGCGCACGGAACTGTGCATCGGAAATTCTAAAGATATGCTCATTTTAAAATTATTTTGTGACATTGCTATTGAACTGAATTTTATAGTTTAAGAGCAAAGAATGTGATATTTAATAAAGGTAACACACAAAACGTTAAAAAAAAAAGTCCCTTTGGACATAATTTAAAACCTGAAACCTTTCAGATTTTTTTTTAAATTTAGGAAAAACTGAAAATAGGTAATCTAGCCAGACAGCTCATCTTAGCTATGTGAAATCATTCATGATTAGTTATCATATATAAAGGGAAGAAGGAAGTCACAAGGGAATTTTGAGAAATGTAAAATTTTCTTTTAAATGCGTTTTCAGCAAATTTCATGTTTCACTATTTTTGGAAAACCTTCTAGGTTTAAACTTGTACATTAAGAGCAAAGTAGGTATTTCCTAGTGATTAAGGTTATCAAATAAGTTGGGAACGCATTGAAAGACTTGCAAGAATTTAATGAATTACTGTATATTCTGTTGGTGTACAAAGCACACCTGTAATTTCAAACTAAACTTTTTAATTTTTAGGTATATTCGCTGTATAACACGCACCTTTTCTTTATGAAGAAACTTGAAAGATGTGTGATCCAGTGGAGTAGCGAGTACAATTGGCACCTGGGGCAAAATACCTTTTTGGTGCACCCACCTCACCCTGGGAAAAAAAACCCACTGATATGATGAAAATCTTGTTTGGAGACCATTTGGCACCTGGGGCATCATACACCCCCTTGCTACACCACTGGTGTGATGTTGTTATCTTTTAAGTCATTTAATCAAAGATTTTTCGCAGGTTTTCAATCAATGGTATACTGATTTGACAAATGATAAGAGGAACAATATGTATGTGGGCAAAGTGCTTGAGGAGTAAATCTAAAAAAAGGGTTGGTTGTATTCAATGCAGCTGCACACAAGAATGTTATTTTAAGGCTTCGAGAAAAGTGCGGCGTAATTAGGGATTGGATACTAATGTACTTCCGACTCGAATACATTCGCGGAATACGGAGTTCGATCCAGTCCAAGATCTGAACTTCGGTGGTTCCAAATATTAGATCCTCAGTTTAAATCTAGTAAGAAGACATGCAGAAACTTAAAAAGATTAAACAGTGTTTCATGAAATAATGAAGCATTTATGAGCTTAAGGGAATCAAAACTAAAAAATAAATAAATTAAAAAAACGAGAGCTCAACATTTGTTTCAATGCATTTATTGTCTTATATGCTTTTTCTTTAAGTCTATAGACAGACATTTCTCGTTCATTGACAAAGTTCCATTCTTCAAGACCTGTAATTTCCAAGTCCAGAATCATTGACATGAAAACCAGTAGTGTAGCTGGGGATGACATCTACCCTTGGGTGCCAACTTTATGTTAAGAAACCTTAAAATGAAATGTTTTCCATTCATGGCAAACACGATGGGGTGTGAAATCTTCAGCTGTCCCTGGTTACAGAAAACCCAGACTACTGTTCTGACCACAATAAAAACCTTCTGTTTATATCGCCTTCATTTATTACCATTTCTTCACAAATTAGTTAATTGTAAAATTTCGATTTTTGTTTATGATATCGTAAAATCTTCAAATCACGGCGATAATCATAGAGAATAGGTAAAATCCACTATACACTATTGGTAATGTTTAATGAGATTGCAAACTAAAGTTATGTTGTCTTGCTTCTCTTGCAAGTTAACAAATCTCAATTAAATTAGTTATTTAAAATAGTTACGCCTATCTCCCGCACATGCTTATCTATTGATCAATGTTGGACATTTTACGACCTGATGCAGTCTCTAAATGTCCAAAATTCTGCTGCGAAGTACCTCCCTGATTTTTAAAGCTTGCTCTCTTTAATTCTGCTGCTCAGTTCTTCTCTAAATTCCAAACATTTTGCTGCCCGAAGTTCTGGCATAGACTCTGGACTTGTATGAATAAAAAATGAGTTATTTAGCACAAAATGTAATCTTTAGGCCAATTACTTAGAAAATGTACTTTCTTCCTTAATATACCAGTGTAGCTGAAGTCTATAATCATCACCAAGAGTGTGAATATAAAGGGTTGCCATGCTCTTCAGTATTTACTTACTAATAATTATAAAAAAATGTTTACATTTCGCCTGTACGACTCATTTGTCAAACTGCCGTGTGTCATAGTCATGCAGCAATTAAAGTAAAAATCATAAATAATAATTCATCAGGGTGGCGTCAGGTATTACAATAAATGGCAAATTCAACATGGAAATAATTTTATTTAGTCCCGAAGTAAAATTAAGAATGGGACTCGACATGTTTTGCATGGTAAAATATAAAATGCACATGTCCTCCAAAAAATTATTTTTGCTTATTGTCAGTGTTTTGGACTTTGAACTGTATATTAAATAAACAACTACAAAAGGAACAAATGTAAAAGTGAAGAATATGGTTATACAATCAAAAGTCGTTAATTCGGACCTCAAAGCTACAAACTTTCGGCGCATGTGTCGCGCACAGGCGTTTACGAGAGCGCGTAAGACCCTTACGGCTGCGAATATGTTTGTGCGCATGCGCGTTTAAATTGTAATGGAGTTATACGCTAAGCTAAAGTTATCTGTGTGTGTGTGATTATGGCAAAGCCTCGAGGGCTATCTGCCTAAGGGGAGGACTTTCTAAGGGAAACTGGCCCGTATACACGTTACACATGGGGAAAACCACGAAAACGCCCATGCAGCCAGCCCGTTCGCGGGATTCGAACTACCAGTGTTCAGCGACTTTACCGCTCGTGGGCCTAAAGTTATCTAATTCAGTTAATGTTGCCGATTGCGTTGTTCCTTAATCTTCGAATTGGATCCGGCTTATTATTTTTTGCAGACTGGTAGAGCAATTTTATAAAAGTAAACTTGAACGTTCGATTATGTCAAATAGAATTTCCGATATATATTTACTACAAAGCGAAAGTATGTTTTGAAATCCGAAATCTGTTTATCAATTTCACCCTGCTCTGCAGCAGAAGGGGGGGGCAGAAACGTCATTATTAGATTATGATAGATTATGTCAAATAGAATTTCCGATATATATTTACTAATATGTAATTTGTATCTACAAAGCGAAAGTATGTTTTGAGATCCGAAATCTGTTTATCAATTTCACACCACCAATTGGAAGTTGATCTGTCAACACTATCCTTATCTTCAGGGCAGATGTTTTTATTTATTTGGTTTATAATTCCGTACTAAGTGTAGTATTTCATTCTGTCTTTGATCTTTGATATTTTAAATCAAGTTCCTCGTCATTATAATTCGCGTCATTATAATTCGCTTCCGATAGTGAAGAAAGTGACCCAGAGGTTATTGAAAACGAAAACATTTCGATTGACAAATTAGTCGGTATTCTCAACACAGCAATTATAGGACTTGAACAGCGGAACTTTGTAACTAAACAAGAAATTATGTCTGTTTAATAGAATTAAAGAGAAAGTATTATCACATGAAACGAAGCAACTTACATTGAAGGAAATGTTTAATAAAGTAAACAAATAAATATTAAGCTTTTTCTTTTTGTAAATTTTGATACCCTTTAGATCATAATTGTTCTTTATTTCATAAATTACGGTTTCATATTTTTAATTTCTGCATGCCATCTTACCAGATTTAAACTGATGATCTATTATAATCCGGAATCGCCGAAGTCCCGACGAGTTCGGATTAACGACTTTTGACTGTATTACATTTATTGAATTATGTAACACATTCTGAAGCTTCACTGGCTGCAAGAATGTGAAGCAACAAATACTGCTGTGTCACTTGTAACCAACAGAAATCCTGTATGCTGATTTGAAACACTGATTTTACTGAGTAATCCAACTAATGTTAGTGGTTTTGTCTCATGTTTTAATCAGTACCAAGAACTCTCAGAAATGGGAAACGGCAAGGTCAATGCTGAAACAAATACACAAATTCATCCAACTTTGCAAAAAAACTGTTACCATTTCAATCTTTATATTTAAGTAAATGTGGATTTATTTCTTCATATTCAGCATTGTACATGATTTGTTACTGAAGAAAAGAAATCGAATATCACAAAATGGGGAACCTTGAAACTGAAGCTGACCTTTCGCAGGAAGCTCGAGGATCTCGCTAAATTTAGTAAAGTCGTCTAAAGTGATTTAGTTTTTACTGAAAAAGGATGCAAGTCAATAAATTTACCACAACTACACAAGTGTTTAAAATGTCACCCTTTTTTTTTTATCATGCTACACCCAAGATCTTTTTCAAGTTTACAATAGAGCCATTATAATAACTGCTTCCATTCTGTCTTAGGTTCCTTACTAATACATCTTATCTCTACCTATGTTCCACTTACCATTTCCGAAAGCTTTGGAAGCATTAACTTTTAAATAATTTTAAGTCCCGAATATAAGAAATAAAATGTAATATTCCATTACTGTCAAATATTCCAAATTCTAAAAAAATACGAGTATTTATGAATAATGAGTATTGTTTCTTTTGCATTAAAAACAGAGTGACAGGACAAGATTTTATGAGTATTGAACATGTTTATTCACTAAATACACGTAACAAAGTTATTTGATAAGTATACAAGAATAGGCAATTACACTTTTCAGTTACAGAATGTAATGAACATTATAACATAAAAAGTAACTATTTGCTACAGCTGCTCAGATAAAAAGGAGAAAGATGTGGAATGATAATATACATGTGCCTAGGAACAGAAAGTAAGGATATTTCAATGAAATTAAATATTAATCAAGTATTTAAGACAATGCTACACTGGAAGCAAATTACGAGTCATGATGGAATCCCCTTTCATTTACAACTCAATGAAATATGAATGAAACTTCTGAAATTTAATTCTTTAGCTCTTAAGAGGTTGAAAATATTTGATTCATTTTGGTAACTGTGTAACTTGCTCAATACTTGTCTTATCTTGCCACATATATAATTTTTACTAATTAAATAAAATTTACAATAAAACTCTTCAACAGCTCATATGTTCAATATAAAATTTGGATATTGTACTAAGTAAGCAAGAATATGTTAACTTAAATTTTAGGCTGAAGGCAAATGACTTGCATGCATTAAAAATCTTGAAAGTGATACATATATTTTACAGAACAGATATTTAATTTTCATACTTTAATGAGATTACAAAAATTTCACAATAATACTTTTTTATGTTAACAGTATGTATCAACATAGCAATGCTGCACATCATGTTTCACATCAGGGATTAGAAAATTCACTGCTAACTTACAATCAAAGTTTACCAATAAGCATTACAAAAGTTCAAACTACAAAATTAAAAATTACAAAAAATAGAGGTATAAAAAATGCTACAGAAAAGAAATTACACAAACAGAATTTTTATTTAAGCCAAACAATTATACATGGTGACAAAGAAAAATATTGCTGAAGTTTGCATAGCTTTTCATACATGCTTGGCACACTCACTGCAGGTGACAGCATGCAGTTTCAGTTGGAATGAACATCTTCATCAAATATTAATGCCACAATTAATTTTAGCCATATCTGCTCTGAACATTTTATCAAAAAGTGATTTCATGAAAGAAAAATTAAATGTGATATTACAGTCTGTAAACTGAAGTCCTTCCATGACATTTTATTCTAAATCTGGAAGTTCTGAAAAAGACATTTGGTAATTTTATAGATGATCATCTTAACAATAATTATTTATATAACATCGATGAGTAAAAATGGACATTCTGGTTTCATCTTCAAATACAAAAAAGCATACTGTAAAGTATATTTATTTGCTTACATAGAAAGCAAAATTCTACAAAAATTATAACAAAGAAGTATTAATGCTCTAAAATTTTTATAAATCAGGGGAGCAAAATTATTCAATTTTATATTCGTAATAATTACAATGACCAAGATAGTCTTTCTTTTAGCACTTAGTTAAAAAATTGCTCATAAAAACCAGCTTTCTGCTAAATGTAGAATGGTTTAAAAAATCAAATTAGGATACATAATAAAAAATAAGTTTTTATTTAAAACTAAAAATCAGTAATGAACTAAAAAGGAGAAAAACAATTTATCATGCAGATCAATGGGAAAGAAGAGATTCGTGAAAAATCAAGCACCCTTGATAAGCATATAGACTTATACTTTAAACAATGCTATTTAATTATTCAGTTTTATTACTCAGGTGCCACACTTTTATTATTCATGATAAAAATTGTACACGAATTGCATAAAGATTCTTGTTATATCTCTTACTCCCATTAAACCTAATGTCAACTTTTCCCCCTTTTAGTTCATTAATGATTTTACGAGTATTAAATAGCAGCTTACTTCATAAAAACATTTCTTAAATATATTTTCATCTTTCTGAATGATGTTATCAATCAAATTATTTAACTGAAAAATCATCCTTTTATTTCTCACAACTTAAAATGGACCAAGATTTTGCCAAAAAAACTGGAAATTAAGTGAAAAATCTTTTATACACTTAATGGAAAGACTTCTCCCCCCCCACTCGATAGCGCAAACAATAAAAATTCTGAGAGTTTTCCAGTTTGCTCATTAAAAATGTGTGTTCAAAAATTCTCTTCAAGAATAAATTTACAAAAAATCTAAATTGAATGTTGACAAAACAGATTCTTCACATCATACATAGTTTAAAAATAAATGAAAAAATTTGATTACAGTGAACTAAATAGAAGTTTATAAAAAATACAGAGGTTGTAATAAATCTAAACATGAAGATCCTTCAAAATTTAATATACCAACATCTCACTGGATCAACACATCATACGATAATCAATACATGTCAAATTTAAATAGCTCAAAAAAGTTCACAGTAGATTATTGTTGAAAACTATTTAACACTGCACGTTTGCCTCATCAAAGCTGCTTTGTGCTTAACCATTCCAGAGAAAAATGGAAGCAGAAATCCCTTTGATATACAAAATCATCCTAAAATACACTAGAACAGCGGCTCTCAACCTTTTGACTAACATGTACCATTTAAACAAAATTTCAAAAACCTAAGTATCACGACTACATTTTACAACAATTATTTTTTAATTTCTCAATAGAAATACTAAAAAAATATATTTTGCCATTTTCACAACCTATTGACTATTTGTATTAAGCACACATAAAAAATATTAGATTAAAAATTGGTCACCATTTTAATTATCGAAATTCAAGAGGATCAGTTTCTCTATGTCTGGTTTTTATTTCATTTAGTTTTAACCATAAATTAGGATCCACTTTTAATATTGTTCTGTATTTATTTTTCAACTATAACATGGAAGAAAATCCTTGTTCACACAAATAGGTTGTGCAAAAGGTAATAAAAATTTTATAACTTTATTTAAAATGCCCTACTCCCCCCCTAAGGTTCAGCCAAAGGTTAACAAGTGTTTTATTTTGAAATCTTCAGTTAGAATTATTCGATTACAGGAAATTTCTATCAATTGTTCTTTTTCTTCACGAAATAAAATTTCAGGTGTGTTTGAACAAATGTTCTTTAGCCGCAACATGTCTTTTAAGAAACCATGGGTTCGTACTTTGAATAAAAGTTACCACAAACAAGATTGAGGCTAAGAGTCCATTTCATCTCTATTCCAAGTAAACCCAAATGATAAATAACCCTCATTATATTTTCTACAGACAACTTCCGCTTACTCAAACCTAGCCATTTATCCATTTTGAAAATCTAGATTTGTTTTATTATTCTTTCAAATATCTAAATGCACAATATATTAAGAGTTCTTAAAAAAAAAAAAAAAAAGACGATATTCTCAAATTGCATAGAAAAGTAAGGAATGCAAAAAATAAGAAGACAAAATACCTGCAGTTAGAGACAGTAAATCAATGTAAAAAATGATTCTAATAGAAAATAGAGCAATATGAGCCAGGAAATGGTGGCGACAAAGTATAGACATGCTAATAAATCGATCCAGCTCTAAAAGAATTAATGAGATATTATTATCCCTTTTTACAGGAACTTGTTTTTATTTCATATTATAAAGAACATCCATTTCTGTTACTTCTTTTCAAATCATCATTTATGACAAATTTTTTTATGTCTATGGCTAAAAAAAATATTTGGGGGGGGGGAAGGATTATTTTGTGGTTGAGTGGATATTGACCTTGAACAAAACTCAGATTGCATAAATTTACATGTTACAGAAAAAACTTAAAACAGGATGTTGGGGTATTTTATTTTTGAATTTAATAGTAAAAAAATACTTTGTTTCTTTGTGTATCACCGGTTGAGAATCGCTGCACTAATGAAATCTATATGATATCACTAGAAAAAAATGCCACAATATAAAAATGGTCCAAATCTCATTTAAAAAACATTTGTCTACTGAATGTCATAATTATGCATAATGAATACACAACTTTCCCAATGGCTGGCATTAAAAGTTAGATATAATTATTTGGAAAAAATTATTATTTTTATATGAAAGACTTAAATATATTCAGATGGTGGAATTGTGAACAATGAGATAAAAAAACATTTACATCTGAGACCTTCAATCAAAATACATTTTTAAAACTGGAATGATATTCGGCAATCTATCAACTTTCTAGCTTAGAAGTACCTCAAAAGAATTTTTTTACTTGGGCAGCACTTTTCAATGGGTTTAGCCATTTGATGCAAGTTCAATAAAATTAAAATAAATGAAAGCTTTCATTTTCATAATATTGAAACTGAGGCAATAAACTTAATTTGTGTTATGAATAAAATGTTAACTTGCTTGACCAGACAATTCATATGAAAAATCTAGTTGATTTAGTAACATTTTTATAGCTGCTTGGTTAAAAGAAGACACAATTTAATAGATGACCTTTAAAAATATGTAGCAATATATATGCTGTTCAAAAAGGAATTCTGAAAACAATTATTAATTACTAGAAATACACGGGTACTATATGTATTTATATATGAGAGTAAAAAAAAAGGGGGGAAGACAAATCTACACATCTTTGTAGATACGAGTACACAGAATTACAAAGCATGCTTAAATGCCTGATGTAACACGGAAAAGTGCTTTAGATAGTATTTAATGCTTATCAGTAGCAAATGTATTACAGTTTCATTCCTAAAGCAGAATTTGAATATTTGACTAAGGTTTGATTTTCAGCCCAGCCAGTCATTCTTCCTATTATTCTCTACCAATTCCGAATATTTCAAAGTATTGTTTAACTACAGTGCATTTCTTTACAAACTTTCTTCTTTACTAGTCTAAAAACCCAAGGAAAAAATGGAACAGCCGACTCTCATTAAGTATAAATCATATCTCCACATCACTCCTATTACTATCTAATTAGATATATTTCAATTCTCTTCAAAATCATCACAGAACCTGTACTCTTGCCCCTCTTTTTCATAGTCACAAATTAGCAAAAGCTTATAGAATATGCCACATGCATATACCAAACCCAACAAAAGCAGAGAAAAATGCTGCCTTCTGTCAATCTCAATCAGCCGATCCTTGTGGGAAAGATTTACTATCACTGACAAAATTTGATGACATATGAACATCAAGAAATATTTTAATTATAAAATTGAACAAAACTAGGATTTATATTAGGAAGAAAGCGACATGGCAATAATTATAATGCTCTATTAAAATTTGCAACAATTATTGTACAACTACAGTACCCTCGTACCAATTCTCAATATCGGAACAAATATTTACTATTTACAGACAATAACTACCAGTTTATAATTTAATTTAAATTCTTAAAGAATAAAAGCAAACAGAAGATTGCTTTTAAATTAAAACTTACCTTCGTCATCACTATCCCCAACAGCATCATCCTAAAATTAATTACATATATTTTAGGAACATTTTAAAATATCTATTCACAAAAATAGAAACAACATAACATTTTAAAACATATATTCACAAATTTTGATTTTAACTTTTAATTAAAAATACTGATTTTTAAATGTCCCATTCAAATTAAAATAAATAATCAAACAGTTCAACTTTTAAATCTCATGCATACCATACATAAAAGAGAAGGAGGAAATTAGCTTTTACTAAATTACCTTTCCAAAAACAAACTAATCCAGTCCTTTTTTTTAATAATTTTTTATTTCTTTATTATTCTATACATAATTCCCGATATTCTTAAGTCTTTCTATACTATTATTGATGACAGAAATGTCTTAAGAGATTTTCTTAACTTTCTTGGTCACTGCATAATTCCACAACACCATTTATGGTCCATGTGATTTAGCACGTAATGCCTTTATATGAGACGCAATATATAATTCATCTTCTATGCAATCTTGCAAACAATGTCTCAAACATTGCTATTTGAACTAACATATCTTTCAAACTATAGTTGTAGTGCTTACCAAGCTGAACAATTTTAAAGCAATAATAGCATTTAATAATTTAAATTAATTTTTGCTCATACATCTGATATAACTTCACATTTAACTTATGACATAGGCAAATAGCAATTCTAAGCATTTACAGCATTTTTTAAACTAACAAAAGATATTTCTAATGCCAAATTACATCTTTTTTTCCACAGATCTATATATCTGCTCGTCCTTTTTTTTTTCAAACACATTGCAGATGGGATCTCAGTTAACACAAGACAATGGTAGTCTGAATTATTGTTGCTGGCTTGATCAAGTATTTCAAAAGAAAAACCTGGTTGATACAGCAACCTTTTCTATAGCTGCATAAGTAAAAAGTTATAATCAATATATAACTTTATAATACAGATCAAGCAGCAAAACTAAAAAGTTAACTACTGTGAGAGTACTAAAATTAATTTATTTCTTTCCTCTCCCCCTTTTTTTCTTATGTAAGATTCTAAGCATTTATAATAGCATTTTTGAAAGTAACAAAAGCTGTTTCTAATGCCAGATTACATCTTTTATTTTACAGATCTCTATATTTGCCCCCTTTTTCAAACACATTGAAGATGGAATCTCGGTTAACACAAGACAATGGCAGTCTGAATTATTGTTGCTGGCTTGACCAGACATTTCAAAAGAAAAACCTGGTTGATACAGCAACCTTTTCTATAGCTGCATAAGTAAAAAGTTATAATCAATATATAACTTTATAATACATATCAAGCAGCAAAATTAAAAAGTTAACTACCGTGAGATTAGTTAGTAAACTTTTTTTTTCTTCTCCCCCTTTTTTTGTTCTTATATATGATTCAAACACTGCTCAATTTTAATCAATTAAAAATTCCTGCTGTTGAAAGAAATACCAATTGGTCTTAACAGCAGGGAATTTTTGAATATTGTATCTAAAGTAACTGAAAATTTTTAAAACTGATTCTCTTATTTAGAAAGAGAGACATTTACAAATTTCCCATTGTCCCCCTCTTTTCAAATTTGACTTCTTGATTGTGAAATACATCTGATCTACAGTGGGGTGAGGCATGCAGAACCAGCAAGCTCAGACATTAAAGGCAGCTGAGAACTTCATAGATGTATTCAAAAAGCTTGCGAATTCCAAGGGTTACCTTTCACAGCGGGATTTTAATTGTGAAGAGACAGTCTCTTTCTGGAAATGATGAAGAAGCAAACTTTAAGCCAGGCCATAAGCCAAAGAAAGATGATTGTAGTGAATTCGTGGTGAGATCGGATTAGCTTTCTCTGTTTTTGAATTGAGTTCTATATAATATTTTAGTAGTTTAAAATATAACTACTGTGAGATATTGCGATATTATACAAATATCTCTGAGGAAATTTCAGCATTTTGTTTTTATTTCTTGGGATCAGATTAAGTTTTAATAACTTTTCATCGACTTGTGCATTTAATCCATTACGAACCCGTAAGCAGGCAACAATACACTTCAAATGAGCAAGATACATGCCGTGTGCAAGTTCACCAACAATGCTTAGTTGACACGTGACCTAAATTAATATGCTATGAAGTTGTTTAAAGACAATGTTTCATCTCAATTTCGAAAAATTTTTTAGCAAGAAGAAAACCAAATATCCTCAAAAAACTTTCTTATAAAAAGGGATATGTTATAAATTTGCTTGAACATTTATTTCAGCAAATTATGTAATTTCATTTTATTCATGGAGAAAAATTATTTCGCATTACCAGTACGAATCTGAAACAAATTACGCTCATCACGCAAATATGCCCTGTATTCACTTTTTAATGTTTTTCTCTTTCGATACATTTTACATTACTGCTTGGTTCCTTGAATTTATGAATAAGCGGAAATGTTGAAAAGCTTTCATATGTCCTTCTTATATTAGGATAAAATTTACATAGAAATAAAAATGTAAGCTTATTTTGCCCCTCAGATACCGCTTCTGAAGCATTTCTGATACTATTTTGGCACAAAATTGGCAATACCTTAGTTCTGCCTATTATGCTTGTTACGTACTCATTAAAACACAGAATAACACAAGTACAAAGTGATTATTTTAATTTCAAATTATAATCCAATGCATTTTAAATCTTTTAATAACTATCTCCCAATAGTTTTGAGATTAAATAGGAGAACAAAAAGAAACTTAGAACAACATTAAAAGTACCCAATCTGAAGTTATTAAAATAAATCAAAATTACTTTATGTGTCACAGAACATAAGAAAAGTTTTGGATGGCCCAGGTGAAATTGCAAAATTCTTTACAGGATAATAGAAAAATATTCTTTTAGAACATATCTTCTGTATACCGGGAAAATACATAACACAATTCTAAAAAAAATACTAGTGTTTTTAATTAGATATATCATGAATTAAATACATTTTTTATTTAAATCGCCTAAATTAGAGAGCTAATAAATAACAATTTTATTGCTTTGGTTGATTTGAAATAGACATTTACTTAATTTTGTTTGTCATAGCTAATTTAAATATATGGAATTTTGCAGCATTAACATCCACAAATGTTAACTACGCATGCCACTTTTATTATTATATCCTCATAAATCTTCACATAAAAATAAATAAAAACTTCAATATTTATGCTCAATAGAACTATTCTGTAAACATGTTAATTTTATATTTACAAAAACCAGAAACTTACATAATTAAGATCACTACTTTCACTCATGCCTCCCATTTTACGCATCATCTAAAAAAAAAAAAGTTTAATAACTAAGTAAACATCAACAAGAACACAATCACATAAATTTTAGGGTTTTTAAACTATTCTTAACTTCAAATACTTTGTTTACAAAAAGCAATTTAGTAATACATAGTCAAAAAATCCATTAAAAATCTAGATTCAAATTTATAAATCACTGATCTAGAATTCGTAATACAGGAGATCGGTAAGAAAACAAGTATTGCTAAATTATCATACCAAAAGGCAATTACAGTGAAACAAGAATAAACTGAAATGACTGAAGAAAACTGTCACCACTGGCTTAGAAGACGACTAAATATCTATACAGTCAAGTCTTTAATTCGGAATCGTCGGGACTTCGGCGATTCCGGATTATAGATCATCAGTTAAATCTGGTAAGATGGCATGCAGAAATTATAAAATAAAAAATATGAAACCGTAATTTATGAAATGAAGAGCAATTATGATCTAAGGGTATCAAAATTTACACACACACACAAAAAAAAGGGGGGGCTTTATATTTATTTGTTTACTTTATTAAAACATTTCTTTCAACGTGCGCATAGTCGAAATTAGAAAATTGCAACCAGAAAACTATTTGATGTGTATTCATGATATTTATAATGACGAGAAATTTAATTTAAATCATATCAAAGACGGAGTACATCGAGATGAAAATTATAAGCCGAATAAAATAAAACAGAACAGAACTTTTATTTTACATACTTTCTCAGATGACAAATTCAAACCCAAATATTTGCCAGGAGTATGCATACAAATTTGGTTACAAATTATCAAAAATTTTGAAATCCTTTCAAGAAAACTGCAAATTTGTAAAAAAGAGAACTTCAAGAGCAAGATCATAAATACACAATAATTCTTGTAAAAAATTACTAAAATTTCAAAAGACCTCTGTAGAATTTCATAAAAGTTGGGATTTGATTAGATTACTTAACATGGCAAAGTTCAGGCACTATATTAAAGCACACCAGATTATTTTGATATGACAAAGGGTAGCTTTTGGGCTGGACTTTGTAAGGAAAATGGCTCGCATTCACATTACACATAGGGAAAAACATTAAAATCACCATGCAGCCAGAAAAGAGATTTCAATCCCAGTTGAACTGCTAGTATTTAAGATTTAACCGCTTGGATGCTGATGGATGTTTATTACAATTCAGCTACTTACCTCTTCAAAGTCTGTTCCTTCAACTTCATCTTCAGAGTCATCTTCATCTTTCCACTTGTTAAAGTCAACTTTTAACCAATGAAACTGAAAGAGAAAGCAAAATTTTTAGCTAGCATAATCATGGTTATTTTTAAAATTACTATGTAAAGACTGATCAAATTAAGCAACTTTTCATAAAGCTGAAACACCAACATTATGAAAAAAACTACTGTATTTGCTGGCATATAAGAAGCACATTTTTTCTTTGAAAATCGGTCCGAAAAACGGGGTGTGTCTTATACAGTAATACTCAGTTTTTTATTACATTCATTTCTGGGAATTTCCTCTATTCAGAGTTATGTGATTTTGTTCTTTGTTTCCTTTCGAAGCGTGGGAATATTACAGTTGCACAAGTGAACGTGCATGCACTGTCATTGACGATCACAGGTTGGCTCATTTAAACTTTCCAATTTTTCTGAACGACTTTTAAGTGTGTGAAATTTCTAATGTTCAATTTTTAAAATTTTGTTAGCAAATTATGGCTCAAAAACAATGTTAACATTACTATAACATACAAGCTACCAGATTATGTATGCTAAAGAACATGGAAACGGCTGCAGAGGAACATTTCGGGCCAACCCCAACTGAGAAAATGATAAGAACTTAAAGCGAAACTTTCAGTCTCTACAAAAATGATTATTCATCAAGTAAAAATGACTTAATAGAGATTGTCGATTTCAATGGATCAACATCATGGTATTCCAAGACTCATGAACAGAAACCAACAATGTACAGTGGTGGCCAAAATTGTGGACACTTTTGGAAATTTTCATGTTTTTGAACTTTGTATGCTTATAGAAAACGTTAGGTTTCACAAAATGCAAACTTGTATATATCATTTTAAAGAGAATTTATTACTGAATTCAATACAAAACACAAAATTCAATTATTTGCAATACAAAAAATGTTAAACGATAATAGTTATTGATATACATTAGATAGTGATGATTGCAGTGAGTTATCAGTACTTAGTAGGGTACTCTTTTTGATTACAGCTTCAAATCGACGTTTCATTGAGCTGACAAGAGTTTTAAGCTCTTCTTTCGTTATTACATGATGCCAGGAAACAATTATAGCCTCAATTAGTTCCCTTTTATTTGATGGGCACCTCATTCGGACAAGAGTTTTCAAACGGTGCCACAAATTTTTGATAGGATTGAGGTCAGGACCGTTTCCTGGCCATGACAACAATTTAATGCTCTTTGTACGAAACCACTCTTTCGATATTTTGGCCGTGTGGCAAGGAGCAGAATCCTGCTGAAAAAGAAACGAAGCATTGTTGCAAAAGAGATCTCTGAAGGAAGGTAGAAGTTTTCGTTCTAGAATAGTGTCAATGTATTTTCTGGCATTCAGTGTCCCATCGATGACATGAAGGCGACCAATACCATCTGCTGACATGCATGACCAAAATCATAACACTAACTGGGTTCTTCACAGTTGCTTGAATGCAGTCAGGATGTAGCTTTTCTCCTATTCTACGTCTTACATATTTTCGCCCATCACTACCGAATAACGATATCTTAGTTTCATCACTCCATATAACTTGTGGTCACTGATCATCTTTCCAATTAATGTGTTCCTTTGCCCAATGTAGTCTTTTTTTCATTGCTGAAAATTAAGATAAGGCTTTTTTCGTGGAATTTTACCTTTCAGTCCAACATCTGTTAATCTTCCCCTGATTGTTTTTGAACTGACAAAAACACCAGCATCATTCAGATCACTTCTGATGGCCGCTGATGACATTTTTCTATCTTGGAGACATAGTCTTTTATTCTTCTGTCATCAATAGATGTGGTGCACCTTTTTTGGCCTTTTCCTTCTTTGTTTTTTTATTGAATTTGTCTCCTGATGTCGTAAACAAAACTTTCAGACTCCATATGTAGTCACTGAACCCCCCACCTGTCTTACAATTTCAGCATAGGAAAGACCACTTTCTCGTAACACAATAATATTACATCTCTTTTTAGGTGTCTAATCTACTCTTTTATTTGATGTCATTTCTTCTTGACTAAATATTAAAAATTTTTACAAAAATTCCTACTTGTTATTGCAATGTATAAGAAACAGGTCCTCTTTCTACAGAACAAAGCAAAATAATGAATTGTTTCAAGTGTAAACATGATGACAGCTTCTACTGGCAGCTACTAACATTTGATTGGTTCTCAGAACAAGAACAGTGATCGGCCAGGAAAGCTAGATATTACAAACCACTTCATAACTGCGTTTTTTATTTATATTAAAGTACATATAACTTTTTTTGTATTGCAAATAATTGAATTTTGTGTTTTGTATTGAATTCAGTAATAAATGCTCTTTAAAATGATGTATACAAGTTTGCATTTTGCGAAACATAACATTTTCTATAAGCATACAAAGTTCAAAAACATAAAAATTTCCAAAAGTGTCCACAATTTTGGGCACCACTGTATGCAAACTAAAAGAAAAATATCACAAAATACGCCAGACGAATATGAAGAGTTCCTGTCAAAACTTCATTTAGCTCTGCAGAAAGTACTTTTTCTTATATGTTGTTATTTGATTCCTACTGAATATCTGACATTAAGAATTCAAAATGTGTATAAAATTCCTACGTATTTACTTGAACCACCAAATTTGAGTAGGTATATAAAGCTGGGAAAAGGCCATTAGTGTCCACAAAAAACTTTTCTACCTTGCCGATTCCATCTGTTAAAAATTTCCTTCTTTAACAAATGATATGTAATTATACCTTTACATAAAAAGAAGGCAAACGTGGATGCGTCTGCTCATTATTATGACACCAATAATGTTAACTGCATCATAAATATAGGAGTCAGATATATAATAGTATACATAAGAAAGCACTTGTATGCACTTAGCCATTTTGAAGAAGCAACTAGATTGTCTTATATACACAACTGCATAACATTAAAAGAAAAATTAAGACTTGTAATTTAAAATATGAGCAATGCAATATTTATTAAGAGAATGAGCATTACCTCAACAATGGAAACCAATTAACTTTTCTTTTTTAAATGACAGTTCAATTTACAGAATTAGTTTACAATGAAAGAAAAAAAAAAAAAAAAAAAAACTATGCAGAACTAAACTATATTACAAGATTTAATGATGAAATTTCAGTTCAAAATATAGAAAATAAATAATAAGCCATATTAATTGTATTCGTTTTGCACCTAATAATAAATACAATTTATTTTTCTACTCATATTAATATTTAAATAATTTAACTTAAATCAAAATTCTGAACGTTTTCCAAATTTTCATTGCATAATAGTTTTCCCTTAACGTATATTCCAAGCAAAGTAATTTAAGTAAAAAAGAGGCACATATATGAAATCAGAAGACGGGAAATTGCTTCATGCAGTCATCCTTTAACCCCTTAACTGCCGCGGAAAAGGTATAAGATTCATTTCCTAGTGCCACGGTTTTTCACACAGGCGCACGTAGTTAATGCGATGTATTAGGAGGAAAATAAGTGCAAGTTTTACTTTCACAAAGTATAGAATAAAATAAAAAAAAATGAATGCACAAAATTTAATGTTGTGAGTAAAAAGCATAATAAAACGAAGCAAGCATAATAAAAATGATGTTTTTATAATAAAAAAGATCCCTAAATTGGAGTTTCGATGAATTCATTTTTAGACCAGTAAAGTGTAATATCAGGTTTCAGTGTTATACCTTGTGAAACCAGTATGCCTAAAAAAACATATATTTCTTCTGAACTGGTTGAATGCCACGATTTTGTTCTTGATTTTTCGTTTGCAAGGTGTTGGTTCATATATACTCGCCTACAACACAGTTTCAGTAACAATATGAAGCATGAGCAGTGGCTTTGAAACATCCGTTATATCTTTCTTTATTCCTGGAACCTACTACAAAAAGTAAACGAAAACGGAGGACACAGAATAAAAAAAAAATATGTTTTACTCAAACACCAGCTAATACGGCGCAGTCATTACTTTCACCACTTTAGATGCACCCCTCTCTCCAATTTCTCCCCACACTTCTCTGAAATAGTATCCTCCTTCGCATACGTTGTCAAGGTCATTGTGGCGTTCCATTCCAAAGCTTTGCGAATAATTTTCCGGATAGCAGCGCAAAGTAAATAAAAGTATTTTGGAAGGGCATATAAATACGCCCTGGGCAGTTAATGCATCGGTTGAGCAAGGCGTATATATACGCCCGCGGCAGTTAAGGGGTTAACAGTAAAAGCTTAACTAACCCGCATACTCGGAAACTGCCGAATAGTAACTGGAAAAAGAGGAGTGGGGGAGACTGTAGCCGTTCTTTAGATTTCTCCGCTAAATAAATGATTTTGACATTTCAATATGTGCATCATATAAAAATAGACCAACTGAACTGAGAAATATTCTGCTTAGAAAGCACAGTAAAACTCTTAAGTGTTCATAAACAAATCTCAGACTGAACATCAAAATAAATTATATCTGCAAAATAAGGCAAACGTTATTGCACAATACATACGGCATAATCCTTCCATACATGATATTACACAATCGGAATCAACCGCTGCTGGTATTTGGGGAATAAAGAGCTAAATAAAGGAAAAGAAAGAGACTTACTAATCTGAGGTGTTTCTGATTCTAATTTTCAACAGACTGAGTTAAATTTCCAGAATTTTTTCAATCTTCGCTTGGGTTGGGTAGACCACAAAAAGTTTTAGTCCTATTCCATCCAAATTGAACAATGAAAAAAAAAAAAAAAAAAAAAAAAAAAAAGTCTGATGCTTCAATATTAGAGATTTTGCAGAGAAAGGGGACAACCTCCGTACTGTATAATGTATTGGGGAGGGGGGGGAATTATTTTGACTATTCGATTACTTTTCTTTTATTTAAGCCATTCCAAATAGTATTCCTTAGAAAGCTAATTTTGTATAAAAACACACCCATTTTTCGAAGTTTATCTATACTTCAGCAGTTACTGCAAGTATATTATTATAAATATTCATACATATGCTCATAATATAAGCATAACGATCATAATAAACAAGAATATGAACTGACCACGCGGAACGAGAATGCAAATTATTAAAATCTTGATAGAAATTCAAACGTGTGTAGTATTTGGGAGGGAGGAAAAGAATACCGAATGTACCGGATTTTCTACCGTTTTCGCAATTCTTTGACCAATAGAACGACGTGCACCTGCCTGTACTCTCTCTCGCACCATAGGTTACATTAATGTAGAAAGGGGGGAAAAGAAATTTCCGGGAGTATGACTCACCATCTGATGTTGCATTATAAGGAAGAAAAGTTGTTTATTAGTTGGTACGAGGAAAAAATGCGCGTTCATTAAAAAAAAAGTACTAAAAACAAAAAAATAAGGGCTTTAAAGAAAAAGTAAGCACCTATAAGGGCCTTTTATATTTTATTTTCAAATATAAGGACTTATAAGCACTTGTAAGGACAGCTATGAACCCTGTAATAGCCCTTCTGAGCAAAACTGCCCCTTTGGACTAAAAGAAAGAGAGAGGGCAAAGGGAATATAAACTTGTTAAGAAAACGACCTCTAGTATCAGAAGCAAAACATTCAAATATTATGTTTTCTTCATTCTTTCAAAAATTCTCCAAAAACTACGAAATTCATCATAAGCACCATGTAAAATACATGCATTATGTGTTAATACCATGAAGACATAAATTTTGTCATACCTTTCTGGAATCTTCTACAATCGGGATCTAGATCTATAAATCTTGCATTTAGATCCTTCTAAAATATCTAAGGTCGATATCTAAAATCCTACAGAAAAACCAACCTACCAATATATATAAAACTAGAGGAAAAAAGTGTAAAATTATACACGATCTGAAAAAATTACATGTAGAAAAACCCTCACCATGGGGAAAAAAAAAAAAAAAATCATATTAAAAGAATTAAATAGCTCTTTTGCTAAGAATCGTTTCACAAAGCATACTTTACAGCATTTATCAACTTGTTTATTTTCAGATTCAAAATACTGTTATGGTTTTTGTATTTATTTAGCTATTTTCAGTAGAATTTATAATTAAAATCGTTTTATATTCCCGCACGAGACTTAACTGAAGAGAAAGCTGTGCTGGAAAAATTAAAATACAGGAGCACTTGCATTTAACATTTTAATAAATAGATATCTCGTAATCGTACTTTTTTGCTATCGAGAAAAATCGAAAAAATAACAGAATATTCTCGAGCACGATTAAAAAGCTAATAAAAGCTAGAAGAAAACATCTCAGTTCAGTTGTTTAGTTATTGCTGTTAATGATTGTAGCGGATTCACGGTGAGATCGGATTAGCTTTCTCTACGTTCCTCTGTGTTTCTGAATTAGAGTTCTATTTATATTTTAGTAATTTAAAATATAACTATTGCGAGATTTTGCGACATTGTATGAATATCTCTGAGGAAATTTCACCATTTTGTTTTATTTGTTGTGATAAAAATAAATTTTATTCACTTTTCATTGGACTTGTTCATTAAGTTTTTTTATGAACCCATACGCACGCAACAATACTGTAATAAGTTGCCAGAATGGAAAACAATGTGACTTTATAATATGACAGGGAAAAATAATTTTTATATATTATTTTAATTAAATTTATCAATGTTATAATACTTTATAAAGGATAATTGTCTCAAAATTGGCAAACTCCAAATTAAAAGCTTTGCACGTAAACTGATCTTAAAACTGCTAAAATGATATGTTGCCAAATTTACAGCCATTTACCCCAAAAGGCTGAAGTCGTTTAAGAGCTCTTTATTGGGGGCTGAAGAAAGAATGAATTTCGAAATGCTTATGTTTCACTTCTTGTACAACTCGCACCCTTTATAATTCAGAGATAGGAAAAAATTCAAAGATAACTCAGAAATACATATTTGTCAATGTATCACCAAAAATATCTGTGAAATGCTGATTCACACTCAAAATGGCAGTCACAACAAAACAAAAATTACACACTAAAAAATGTTTATTCACTTTTCTCCTAATACCTTTAAAAAAATTAAAGGTTCATACCCTTTTACTAACATTTAAAATAATTGTAGCATCTTAATATAGCCTTTGGTCTTGATTAAAATTTGGTATATAAAAACAAACTAGTTTTGAGCATTAAAAATAAAAAGAGAAATTTCTCCCCTTTTCTTTTTAAGGGGAGGGAGGGACTTTCAAACACAAGAATTTATAAAAAAGCAGAAAATTTATATAATTATGACATTTAAAATTATGTAGATACAAGTGCATAACAAGCAAGCTTGTTGCTCAATTTTCTGAATGCACAGCTTTTTGTTTTATGTTGCTAGAACAAAAAATGAGATACTTCAGTTACACATGCACACACAAGAGAGGAAAGGGTACAATTTAGTAAAAATAATTGTTTTACATTAGCGATGTGCTGCAGTTATTACAATACAAAATCTTTATTGTAGTCCTGTAAATGAAATGATGTTATACCTACATATTACATTACCTTACATTTATAATATATTCCAATTCCTTAAAGTAAAAAACAATTTCTTTAATTTTTTTAGTTGAAACAGGTTGTAGAGTCAAGCAAATAAAAATAATTATATACTTAATTTTTCCAAAAAAGTACAGTTTCCCCCCATGGAAATAAAATGTTATAGTTTTTAAATGTGTGAACTTCAATGACATAAAATGTAATAAAATACACATTTGGTTTTCCTCCTTGGTAGTTGAGGCACCCTATTTCTGCAAGTTTACAACAAAGCCATCCCCAAAAATCTTGGTAATAATAAATGAGGGAAGTTTATTCCAATAGCATATTACTCTAAGGTTCAAATACAACACTTACTACTTTAGTTAAGCATAAATTAGTTTATAAATTTAACTGATTTATATCAGTATGTATACAAGTAAATAATGCATCAATTTAACCCTTTGACGGTTAGGGAAATGAGCAGTTTTCGTTTACTTAATTCATGCAGTATTACAAGTAAACAGTAGTCGAAAGTGGCAGCCGGCCCCCCCCGTTCTTCTGGTAAAAAAAAAAAAAAAAAAAAAAAAAAAAAAAAACCACCTTTCTCTGGCAATGCCGTACACAGCGACTCACACATTAAAAAAATTTCTTAAAGTATTTGTAGTGCATAAATAACAGTTTTTACGTACTTAAAAATAATTACTAATCACCATCATAATTATCTAACTTTTGCTTTTTAGCCATTTTACTTTGCAAATACCCTGAAAAACAAGCCAAAATATGCATAAAGAGAGCAAGGTAAAAAAAAAATTCTCTCTTCATTATGAAAAGAAATGCATGAAACTCGTACTGCCATCTGCAGACAGAAAAACTAACTAAATTTCATGAGTAGGATTTCTTTGTAACATAACCAATGCAGAATAATAATGGCGAACGAGCTCAGCTTGTCAGCACGCATTGGGGGAAATTTTCACTACGCAAGTAGTGTGCGTTACTAAGCATTCGGTCAAAATCTTGCTTCCGAGCGGAACTCATTTACGAGCATTATGAAGCACGATTCGACTGCGAGCTGAACTCGTTCATAACCATCAAAGGGTTAACCTGTGTGCATATTTACATGTGTTTGGAAACAACATTCCACAATATCAATAGAAAATTAAATCTACTTATGTAATAGACATGTATTTCTTAAAAAGGTAAAAATCCAGTTTAAAAAAAAAAAACAAAGTGGTTACCTTCTTTTTCAAACAGTGGCTTAACATAAAATTTCTGATAATTTTAAATGAAATTATAAGCATTCAAGAGTTTTAACCATTAACACTGGCAAGATCCATTTTTCAAATTCAGATTTAAAGATACACTTCATAACATGTCAATTAGGGGAAAAAATTAATCTTACATTTTTCATTATATGCAATACATCTCTTAATGCTATCAAAATGCTTATATGAAATACGTATTTACAGCTTTCAAACTATATGCACAAGTAAAAATTCAAACCTTTTTATCTTCTTTAAGAAGTCTCTTCCAGAAACCTTCCTCTGCTTTGATTAAAACAAATTCCGTAGCTCTGTCCCTGACAGAATATTTAGATTCCTATATATAAATATAAATTAATCAAAATACTAAAACTCAAACAGTTATATTACTCAAATGTTTTATTAAAACACTGTTGCATTATAATAACAAACACAGCTGATAAATATGAAATATGTTCACGTTCTTCACAGAACTGCATTTTCATGTAGAAAATAACTACACGCTTAAAAATATCAATACCTTTCCTTTAGCCGTACGTTCATGATACAGAAATATGGCTAAAGTAATAATATCAGAGCTGCCAACCTTGAAATCTGGGAGGAAAAAAAAAAAAAAAAAAAAAAAAAAAAAAAACTGGGAGAAATTGAGGATTTCACAATGTGCAGTGACACCATCTCGAAGGAAATCCGGAAATCCAAACTGGCTTTAATTCACGTTATTATGCAAAGTTCAGGTTATTGAACTATTTAAAAATGAATTCTGAGGTAAAATATATTAGTATTTATTTGGATATTCAGATTCTATGTTCTTTGACTAATTACATTATCATGAGAAAATCCCATTAGTGAAAGGAAGCTTTTATTCATCGTAGTATTTTTAAATACGATGAAACTAGAATTAACAATTGAATGAACATGGTATATTTGTGAATAAACTTAGTAATATATATATTAAAATAAACATATACAAATATTACATGCTAAACACTGCTTGAATTTTCATATAAAAACTTATAAATGTCTACAGTAGAATAATACAATTCCGATCAAATGGCAATTAATAAGATCAATAAAATGTAATAAAAAATTATTCTGAAAATCATTAGAGGCGGGGAGATGGAATAGGTCTCATTTAAGCTTTATTAATTCAATGAATTTTATTTATTGTCAGGAAACATTTTCCTCAGCAAAGGCTAACAATTATAAACTGGGAGATTTGCTGTAAAACTGGGATAGTTGGCAGTTATGTAAATATTAAGGAAGCTATTTATCTGCAAACATGAAAGAAGTATAACATATTTTAGAAGTAAATATTAAAACATACACACAACACACACATAAAAAAATTTCGGTGAAGCAAATCTTTCTCCAAATTATAATCTAATTCATTATGAACAATACTATGTAAAGTAAGGAATAATTATCAATTCAAATTTTTTGCCTTTGAGATGGTATTAACACAGCTACAGTGGGCTACCAAACATTTTATAATAGAGGGAAAATTTGGACTATTTTCAATTTTGTTTTTAATAGACGTTGTAGTAAAAAAAATAATAATGTTTTTTACTTTTAATAGACGAATTTAAAGTTCCAGGGCTTTGTAACATGAGAGTTCATGCAATGAGATGAATGCTCCATTGTAAAGTGTGAGAAGGGCAGCCTGTGACTTACAGGACAGATGCTTTAGCATTTCATAATACATGCCATCCAGACCCGGACAAGACTTACGAGTCTGTAACAAAGCTTTCTTTAACTCTAGCAAAGTATACTTGGAGTAGAGGATGTTATTGACAACACATATGAAATCCAGGAATCCCTCTGGCTCCGTCTTATTTTTCGTGCACTTGCTTTGGCTCTTAAATGCTATAAAGGTTTTGCGAAGTAGGGTATCTGCGAAAAACCCCCCATGCTTTTTTCTGCTTTTTCACTGCTCCATGGCAGTCACGATTCCACCATGGTTTTGAATACTTAAGCATTTTTCCCGATGTCCTAGGGATGGAGAGCATAGCTGCCTGAATAATAGTATTAGTAACTGCTTCATCGATATGCACATCTACCATGTTCTCTGTGAGCTCTGCAGTGGAAGAGAAGAATTCCCAGTCTGCCCTATCAAGTACAAACCGAGGGGATCTCAACATGGGGTTTGCTCCTCGTCGTGCAAGAGACACTAAATGGGATAATGATCGCTGTTGTAAAGATCAGTTCCGACACTAAAAGTGCAAAATGGCAACAGAGATGGTGAACAGATGGCAAGGTCTAGAGCGTGGAATTTCCTTGAAGGCTCATGGAAGTACGTATCCTGCCCATTATTCAGGAGACAAAGGCTATGATCTTCAATCATCTGCTCAATTTGCCTTCCTTGGGAATTTGTATCTTTACTACCCCAGAGCGGACTATGGCCGTTAAAATCTTCTATTATGATAAAGGGGTGAGGCAGCTGCTTTATTAGACCATTTAAATCTTGCTGATCAATGTGCTCATTTGGAGGCAAATACAGAGAAATGACTGAGACGACAGTATGAAATTTTGCTTGAGTAGCGACAACTTGGAGGGATGTCGTCAAAAGAAGTTATCATTTGATGGATAGTCCAGTGAGGTGAGGAGGCCTACACCCCTACTGGCACGCTCACCTGCAAGGTTATCCTTCCTGACTAAAGAAAAACCCCGAAGTTTTGCTAGTTGTTCCTGTATTGCTAAGCACACAGGATTATAAGCATTGATTATAGCTTTGATGTCGAGCAAATTTCGGTTGTAAACCGCGAACAATTCCAAGACGATAAGCGTGGCCATTATGTCTCCTGTTTGTTTTTCCGGTGCTGCCTTTTTTGTCTTTCGAGGGAAGGAGGTGTTTTGGGATTTCCATTCCCTTCTTCTACTTTCCATATTATCTGAAATCCAGGAGTGTCAGTCAGTTTTAAATCGTCAATTGAACTACTGCTCAGATTCCGTTTTTTTGGATTTTCTGAATTACTATTTCTTTCTTCTGGATTGTGTGAAGTGGGTCTTTCTTGTTCTTGTTATTAATTAGAGGCTCTTGGCTTTTTGTTGATAAAAAGAAAGATGTTTGGATGGCAACTCATCTCGTGGTATCAGCATTGGCAAAAGATAAATTTGGGCGCACTTGCGAGCTTTCTACAATTTTCCTGGCTTCAGCATTAGATAAGTTTCTAGTTATTTTTGTCGCCTGAACTTCCTTTTCAGATTTCCATTTAGGACAAGAGCGAGAAATGCTGGGTGTTCACCCTTGCAGTTCACACACAATGGCGCAGTGATAAGTGTAATTATCACTATTGTGGCCAACTAATGAGCATCTGGCACACGTAAGGTTGCCACAACAGGACGTCTTAGAGTGATCAAACCACTGGCATTGGAAGCATTGCATTGGGAATATATGGTCTGACGAACAGTTAAGATACCCTGCCTTTATATTCTTCGGCAGATCAGGCGATTTGAAGGTCAGGATCACGTTTCGTGTCAATCAACCTGCCTTCCTTTGGCATCTTGATCTGACTAGCACCACAGACATTTTGTTCAGCTAACTTGAAGACGAACTCTTCTTCTGAAACACACCTCTACAGGAATTAAGTGTTTTGTGTGCTGACACAGTTATAGATACTTGTCCAAGTTTGGTCAAGGTGGCTAAAAAGGTATCAATAAGCAGGTCTCCAGAACGGAGACGCTTTATGTTTCTTGGCTCACCTATGCATGAATGAATGCATTTGCTTACCAGGAAAGGAGACATCATCTTTTGCAATTCTCCACAGGCACTGGAAACAACAAAGCACGGACAATCAGTATTTTCTTTGGCATTTGCATCGGTGCGGATCTTCTTGCTAATAGATTTGTCAATAATTTTGATATCTTTGGCATCTCACCACTTTCTCGTCGACTTCAAAATAACAGCCCGCTTCTCTATTTCCATCTTTCTCAACTACCTTGAGTTTAAACTCAGCAGTAAAACTCCAGCGATGTTTCATCAATGTTATCAAAGATGAAAGACAAAATACGAAAACAAAATACTGTGCAATGTGCTATCCTCCTGATAAGTGGTAATGAAATGTGATCTTCGACCCCACTCACTCGGTATTGCCAAACCACGCTATAGTAAACGAATCACACTTTTTTTTCGTACTCCAGGTACTTGCTACTAGGGCTTCTAAAAACCGAGCTGACGCATCAACTACTTTTCCCTCTCCCGGCAGTTGCGCTAAAGCAGTGCGAAGGATACTGGGATACAAGACTCCGTTTGCGCTAAGTGAGTGCTCATTTCCGGCATCGCTTGATGTGCCAGCCTGGATTTTAGGAGCTCTACTTGCTACTACTCATTCGTTCTGCACTATGCTCTATGGTTTACTCTCGATACGATACACACGAAAGCTTTCTTGGAACCTCGCACTTTTTTTATATTTTAATCATCGGCAGTTCACGACATCGTGTTTTTTAAATTTCAACGATTTTAACCGTGAACAACCAGTGTATTATCCATACTTGTGGATAGTCCGCAGTTTCAAAAATTCACATTTTAAACACAGATAGTCCGCGGACTATATGCGCAAAATTACGGTACTCTGTAATTTTGATATAAGACTGTACACAAATAAATTTTTTAACATTGATTTGCCCATATGCATATTAAAGGTAAGGTATACCAATGAAGGCTTGCTTTATATTATAATCATCTTCAGCACAAAAAATGAATGGTTTACATGATTTAGAAAATCATCTCGCAGCTCGTATTTTTTCTGATAATGGGTCTTTATGCTAGTTATATAGAGAGAGCATAGTAATTTTATATAATGCTACGGTAAAAACATACCTATAAAAAGTTTATAACCTATTAAAATAATATAGTGTATAAAATGCCTACTTTTCATATTTACCAGTAACATTTCGAATATGTCCACAATTAGTCTTGATCAAATAAGCATTTCTATTATTGTTGCTGCTCTCTGAATCATATTAATAATGTACTTAATCAGTAGCAGCAGAATATTATACGCAGCCCAAGTTCATATCCTTTTTACCCAAAAAAGGATACTGTTATAGCTGCATGAATATCTAATATTTAACCTTCTGTAGTTGGAATATATATATATAGATTATTTATTGGGGTCATTTAGTCGTACATTTTGACAGGGGAGAAAAGAAAAAAATAAGGGAACAAGGTTTGCCATTTAGTACTGCAAATTAAGCAGACAATGATTTTGAACCTTATTTAAATGTAGTGAATGCTTGGGACATATTTTTTTATATTATATTTATACTTAAAATACTATTATTCACTAGAGTTCTTTCATATGATATGCATGTTATATAGAACTTGAAAAAATTGCAGAGACATTAGGATTTTTTGGAAGCCAGAGAGATGAAAAATTGAGGGAAAGGTGTATTTTCAGAAGGAAAAGATTCACTGTAAATTAAAAGAAAAATCTCCTTTGAGATTAAATATTAATAGAAACATTTGAAGTTTGTCTTGCATTCAGTGTTCTCCCATTTCAGTAATACATTTTGGTAACAATTATATAAAAGCAAGTTTAATCATGATTATTTTTTGGCCTCCTTTGGACTTCTTTCTGCATTTTGTTACAGATGATGCAGCGTCTTGAAATTTGCATAAGCTGTTAGGACCAACAAGGCACTAATTATGCATCAGTTGCTTTACACTTGAAGAGCAATAGAAAACAGCTGCAGTTCTTACCAAGTTACTGGCACTTCATGTGAATTGCAATTCTATAATGATTTTGCAGCTTACCAATTAAATACTACATTAAATAATTTCTACTAATACCTAGAAGCCAAAACTTTTGAATAGCTCAATATATTTATATTTCATTACATTTCTTTTCTAAATTGTCACTTTTATCTCAAAACCTTTCTGAAAGTATAATAATATAATAATAATAAAAAAAAAAAAACTCTTTAAATGAGTTTCTAATAGTTTTCCCAACCCTTTGAAAGGCCGCTTTTAAGATTTAAATGCTTCCTTCTAGTTCTTCCCACTTAAAAAATTCCGCAATACCTCCCCCCACCTAGTTACTCAAAATTGTTCTGTAAAGCTAAAAATATGCTCTATTAATAAAAAATACAATTCTTCAACAAAATTGGGCATTTCAATGTGTATGGATGTACCTTAATGTACATGTGGTCTTGATCAAGTTTGGCACTGGTCTTAGGGAATAACGAAACTCAATATTGAGGTAGATTTTTATTTCTAGAAATGCTGGTCATTTTCAGAGGTGCTTTTTTATAGGAAATGATTGCCAAGAACAGATTCCCATACATTTAGCAATTAATTTGCTCTTAGATTGCAATACATTAAACATAATTGAGGAGAATGATTTATTCAAAAGTTTATATATTTTTCACTTGATAAATTTCAAATGAAATGATCTAACTTTTTTCATCAATAAATAACTTTTTACAATAGACACAAGCCTAATTTTCAGAACACATCTTATAGATAAGCAACCTTTTGTCAACTGAGGATAAATTTTTTAATTCATAAAAAAACTACAGTTAAAACATACTGGTGAGCACCTTTTTCTTTTTAAGTATGGTGAGCACTTTTTCTTCTTTGCTTTCCAGCTCAAGTACACACAGCTTATTGCAATGTATGCATCCTAATCTTTGCACTTCCACAGATGATGCATTTTTTGCTATCTCAAGAATTAAATATTCAACAATATCTTAATTTCTAAGAATAGCTTTTTCTGATATCGAACACAGCTAACGCATGCAATTATCCCAGCAGTGACATGACGGAAATTTCAAACCTGAAGCCCAAATGCAATATAATTACACATCATCACTACAAATGTATTGTTAATGTAAATATTTTAATCCTTTTCATTTTTGATCTTCTCTATTTTAGTATTTTGTATTATTTTTATTTCTTTTAGAATTAATTTTATGGCATGTTTTATGTTTAATACAATTTGTAACCAAATGCCTTGTTCATTAGTGTTTATTTGTACATACGAGGGCCATCCAGGAAGTAGATTACGTTTCCATCTGTGTCCGCTAGGGGCAGGGCTAGCGCGGCCATCTTGGGGTCAGAGCGTTGCGCAGCTCAGTCTGCATCTAGCCGTGCTAGTGAGAGGTTCGTGCTGTGCTCCGTTCAGATACTGTGACGGTTTGAAATGTCTGCGTTAATTGAAAATCCCGCGAGCTGCGCTCAGTAATAAGGTTTCTGACTGCAAAAAACTGTAAACCGATAGAAATCTATCGGCAGCTTCGTGAAGTGTATGGGGACAACATTATCACTGAAGGTGGGAGTGCGTCAGTGGGTCATAAAATTTCAAAATGGCCGAACCAATGTTCACGACGAAGATCGAAGTGGGAAGACCCAGCATAGTGACCGCCGAACTTCTCGAAAAAGTCGATGCTAAAGTCCGTGAAAATCGAAATTTCACAATAACGGAACTTTCTTTGAGTTTTCCACAAATTTCGCGAAGTTTGTTGCACGAAATCATCAGCGAAAAAAGCTTGGTTACCACAAGTTTTGTGCAAGATGGATTCCAAAAATCTTGACAGAGGACCACAAAAATCAGCGAATGGCTGCAGCGGTGAACTTTTTGGACGCTTTACCATAAGGATGGTGACTCTTTACTCGATCGCATCGTTACTGGTGACGAAACATGGGTGAAACATGTGAACTGTGAAACGAAATTGCAATCAATGCAGTGGGAGGCACACAAGTTCTCCCCAAAAACCCAAGAAATGCATGCAAACAAATGTCGGCAAGGAAGATGATGGCGACTGTTTTTTGGGACAGAAAAGGTGTAATTTTGGTGGACTTCCTGGAAAGAGGCACTACAATAAACTCTCAAAGGTATTGCCAAACTCTCCAAAAACTCAGAAGAGCAATTCAAAAACAAGCGCAGAGGAATGTTGAGCTCTAAGATCTTGTTGATTCACGACAACGCCCGGGCCCCACACGGCAAATGTCACTCGTAAAGTTCTTGAATCTTTAAGTGGGAGTTGTTTCCTCATCCGCCGTACAGTCCTGACCTGGCACCGAGCGACTTCCACCTATTCCCAGCAATGAAGAAGTGGCTGGCTATGCAGCGTTTTGATGACGACGCACAGCTGCAAGAAGAGGTAACGAAGTGGTTGAAGGCGCAGGCGGCCGAATTTTTCGACGAAGGAATTTCCAAGCTCGTACATCGCTACGATAAATGCCTTAATTTGTATGGTGACTATGTAGAAAAGTAGTATTTGAGTGTGGCTTTCATCTGTATATAATAAAATTTGTTTCCTATACTTTATTTTTTTATTCCAAAACGTAATCTACTTTCTGGATAGCCCTCGTAGAATACATTTTTAAAATTCTGAATGCAACAGCTTTGGAATTGTAAAAACAGCTCAATTACAACTTGAGATATAAGCAATTTCATTCCCAAGGGGCCTTGGTGACTTTCTGAAAGATTCACGAAAACTGATTTTCGAAGTCCTGACCGATTTTTCCAGAGCCCATGCTGTGGGGCATAAATATGGGTCAGAAAGCTGCTAAGGAAAGATTGCTAAATATCCCTGATGGTCTAATTTTGAAAAATAATGTCTTACTTCCATAGATTAAATTACATTAAGAAAGAAGAATTTCGTTAAGAAAAAAACAAACAGCCTTTTAATTAATTTACTAAAATTCAATGCAAGGAGTAAATTCAGTTAGGGTTTATTAACATTTTCTAAACAAATTAAAGAAAGACTTCATAAAGAGATTATAATTATTAAAACTTACTTCAGGTTTTATTTCTTTAAAGAACTCAAGTGTGACCTCATGTTCCTTCTTATCTGTACCTCCTTTACCTCTGTAAAATTTTGATGATATATATAATGCAATTTTTCATATAAAACACAAATTCAATTAATTTTTTCACTAAAATGTGTTTACAAGTAGCATCATCATGTAACTAACAGTATTTCTCTATTTCACTTTTAGTATTTAAATAAAATGCATAAATTTAGACACAAAGACCCCCTTAACTGTCAGGATATTAAAAATTAATTTATAATAAATAAAAATCCACTATTCAAACAATGATGAATAACAATATGTCTTTTAATATATCCCAACCACATGTATATTTGGACTTTCATTAAAACAACTGTAACATCAGAGAGCATCTTGATTTCAACTCTTTAGCATGCTTTTAATTTACCTTATCTGCAAATCTTGAAACATGAAACTGAAAAAACTCAAATTAACAAATTTATTTATTCAAATAACAATTTGATTTCAAAATCCTTTTTTTGAATTAGAAATGTGGTTATAATAAATGACTAAATATTTTATTCATTGCTTCAAAAGAAATTTAAAGAATTTTTTTAAATGGCAAATCTTAATTGGTGATCTTTAAGAACTAGCAAAAAATGCTTGTTTCACCATTTTTATGGCTTATTAAGTACTACCCTGTTCAAAAATGAAATAAAAGAATTTTACAACAGACATTTTACAAGAGAGGAAAAAAAATATACAGGGCTGATATTTTTCACCTTTATAGTTGGCAGATACTGTTTAATCAATAACTTGGGGAGGAGGACAGAAAGTATCCCTCATATCCGTGCATCAAAAATGGATTTTATATAATGTACGATTCATACAAAATTACAATTCCTAAACTATTAATAGTACTTTCTGATAATCCACATTCATGAAAAGTTGATTAACTCATTTTGCAGCTTAGTGAATTCACGAAAAATACATGCTTACAATTCATAGGTATTGTACTGTTTATTAATACAGTCAAAAGTCGTTAATCCGGACTCGTCCAGATTATAGATCATCAGTTTAAATCTCGTAAGATGGCATGCAGAAATTATAAAATTAAAAAACGAAACCGTAATTTATGAAATAAAGAACAATTATGATCTAAAGAGTATCAAAATTTACAAAAAAAAAAAAAAAAAAAAAAAAAAGCTTAATATTTATTTGTTTACTTTATTAAACATTTCTTTCTATCTAAGTTGTTTAAGTTGCTTCGTTTTTTACGTGATAATACATTATCTTTAATTCTATAAACAAACATAATTTCTTGTTCAGTTACAAAGTTCTGCTGTTCAAGTCCTATAATTGCTGTGTCTACCGATTAATTTGTCAATCGAAATTTTTTCGTTTTCAATAACCTCTGTTACTTTCTTCGCTATCGGGAAGCGAATTATAATGATGAGAAATTTGATTTAAATCATATCAAAGATGGAGTACATTGAGATGAAATACTACATTTAGTAAGGAAAATAAAATAAAATAAAAACATCTGCTCTGAAGATAAGGATAGTGCTGACAGATCAACTTCCAATTCAGTGTGCGCCACTGCGTTAAAGATAAACAACCGTTAAAGTTTAAATAAACAAAGGATATGCCTTTATCCGTATTTTTTGCAGCAATTCCACTTTTTGTTTAATGAACTTTCAAACATACTTTCGCTTTGTAGATCCTTTAAATATTAATAAATATATATCAGAAATTCTATTTGACATAATCGAAAGTTCAAGCTTACTTTTATAAAATTGCTCTAAAAGTCCGCAAAAAATAATAAGCCGGATCCAATTCGAAGATTAAGGAACAACGCAATCTGCAACATTAACTGAAATAGATAATTAGATAATTTTAGCTTAGCTTATACTGTCCGTTATACATTAAACGCATACTCGTAAATGTATTTTGCGCACGCGCACAAGCATATTCGCAGCCGTAAAGGTCTTACGCGCATGCGTCAATACAACGCATGCGCAGAAAGTTTGTAGCTTTGAGGTCCGGATTATAGATCATTCCGGATTATGGGTGTCCAAATTAACGACTTTTGACTGTATATGCTGTTATATAGTGAAGAGAGATATTTTTGAACCATGGTAGGAACATTAGGATTATTAGCCGAGTTAGTTTTTAACTAGAAGCATAGTGATGTTTCTATAACTGGTTTAAAAGCATAGTTAATTCACTAATAATAAATAAAAATTTATCACATTGGTCGTACATTTCTATTAGAAGTATGAAACAGTCATTATAGAATATAATTCATAATTATATTTACAAGTACTAAAACAGATATAAAATTTAATATATGCTAAAAATATTACTTGAAATATATTCTGTCTTTTTCCACTTTTATTGTGGGGTTCCTACAGTCTTCCAACTGAACTTTAACATAAAGTAAGTTTTTTCGCTGAGCCCACAAAACTGGAGGAGGCAAGAGTCTGGGGGAAGAATACGTCATAATAATTAAAAACATTATGAGAATTACACAAGATCCAGTTTTTTCATTATTAAATTATATATCAAAATATATTTTATAGAAATAATCCAAATACCCACACTTTATGATAATCTATTACGCTGTATATACTTTCCAAAAATCTACAGAACTCAAATAAATATGATAGTTATCTATGTGTTCCACATCTTACACATTTATTTAAAGATGCTGTTAACATTTTATTTAAAGGTACTTCTATTGATAATAAAAATTATTATATAAGGTAGATTCATTAACATGCTAATGATAATGCAAAGGTTTTGCTCACTTGCCAGTAATATTAAGACTGATACAGAACTTTTATGAAAATCAGCATTTTGATATAGGTGCATCACAGAAGTATGCAAATATGTTCTAGTTTGTTACTTTGACTAATAGAATAAAAATCTTACTAGTAGAGTAGTGTCATGGCATGAATATCTTCACACCTATTTACAAAGGTTTCTTGCTTGGCAAAGAATGGCTGACTTGCATAAAGGTATCAACACCTTTATAAAAAGACACTGTTACAAAAAATAATATTTTTGACTTGTCCAACAAGTTCCTGCAGATCGAATAATTAAGACAGCACTTACTTCTGACAAAGTTTTTTTTTCTTTCATGTACACTACTTGCATTGTCATTTCTACAGGGGTTGGACAAAAATACGGAAACACCGGAAAAGAACATATTGCTGTAATTAATATGGTGTAGGAAAACCACTGGCATTTAAAACAGCTTGCAATCTTCTTAGAATGGAGAAATAGAGCTCTTGTACAGTTTGTAGGGAATCCTATACCTTTTTCATGTAAACAATGTCAAGTTTAATTAACAATAGCGGCAGTGGATGTCACTCATGCAGATTTCTCTCGAAAATAGCCCACAAAGGCTCAACAATATTGATATCAGGTGACCATAGTATATGTGAAAGTTCACCCTTGTGCTCAGAAAAAATCCTGGATAATGCGAGCTGAGTGAACAAGAGCTCTATCATTTGGAACATGGTATCACAGCTAAACTTGCATATAAACCCATTTTCTTGACAACTCTATTCCTACTCACCAAGGGGCAGAAAGTGTGCCAATTACAACAACCATGCAAGCAATGCAGAAGAATCTACTTCTTTATGTAGTTTTTTCTTTACATGGTGCATTTACAAAAGCTTTTCTTATTTTAACTATAATTTATCGTTTTACTTTTTCTTTGATCTTATATATTAATTGATATTTCAGTTTATTATTATATTTTACCATTTCATTGTAACATTTAGTATTATTTTTTATTAGTCATTTTGATCTTATTCTACTTATTACTATATTATTTATATATTGTTCTTTAAGTGCGATTCATTATACTTCATTTTATTCATATTTTGCTATTATGTACATATTTATTTTATTGTATTTTTCATACATTATTCTAACTGTAATTTTATATTAAAAATTATTTAAAGTAATTTATATTTTCTAGACTAAAATATTAGTTTTCTTGAGGGAGGGGGGTAACATGGAACCCCTAAAATATCAAAACCATTATAGCTAATTCTAGCCATTTGCCGCAAGAAATTTTGTTTCATTTTTAAAGGAGGCTGAACTGATTCAGAACAGTATACTATGTCCAAATTGCAACTGTTCAATGGTTCTGAAAAATGACCACAAACTCTTAGACAGCATAACATGGTACTGAGGGGGGGGGAGACAAATAATAGCAGTGTTGCTGTGCTTCAAAGGCTATAAAGTATCACCATGGTTTTCAAAAAACAAATGCAACATAGCTGAAATTTGTGTTGACTTATGATGTACTCGAAAAAAACTGCTACAACAAAGATAACGAGAGTATAGTTTCAGATTAAAAACAACTTCCTGCAGCCAATGTTAAAGAGACAATTCTGGAATACATCAAAATGAACAGCCAGATGATTGGTGGACCTGATAAAATGGTTGAAATTGATAAAAGCAAATTAGAAAAGAGAAAATATCATTGGGGTCAGTGGGTATTTGGAGGAGTGGAATGCGACAGTGGAGACCTTTTCATGGCTGTGCACGATTGTACAGCTCAAACACTTATCAGTGTTATTATTATTATTATTATAAGGGCATAGCCCCGAACCTCCTAGCCGGTCGTATGATAAAAAAAATGGGACTGGCCAGAAAAAACCAAATACATACTTGCCAACCTATGACACTCAAAAACCAGGAGATTTTTTTTAAGAAATAAGGAAATTTTTCACAATGTTAAAAAGACTTTTTAAATAATAAAAATATAATTTTTAATAATGAATTAACTTTAAATAGTTACTAATTCTTAAATGCAAGCAACACAAAAATATTTTACACATAAAAAACATTTATATTTTTTTGCATCGTTTAAGGGGGAAAAAAAGACACTTTAATCAGTTTTCATACAAATGTAATGTTTTGCTTTTATTAAGAAAGAAACTTCATAATTATGTTCATAGCAATTGCCACTTAGGGCTGCTTTCGCTAGTAAAAGTTTTTCTAATGTGTCATCGCTAATATTAGATCTAAATTAGTCCTCGTTTTCGCAACACCGAAAATCCTCTCACACTCTGCATTACTATGGGAAACTGTCAAGAGAGCGAACATAATTCTAGATAGTTCACTATATTTTAAAATTTCATCATCACCTTTCAGTTTTCCAATTAAACTCCACTGGGTGCCAATCCTAGCTGATTTTATAACTTCATCGAAGTTTTCTAATTATAAACTGCAAAATTGCAACTGCAATATTATCAGTGGGAACATCAATATTATCATCTTTTAGGACTAAATGAGGTAACACAGGAAATCTGTTTAAAAAGAACCTTATATCAGAAAAAGATGCATTTGCTAAAGCAGAAACGTCAGCAACTATAGCATGTAAAATCCCTTCATTGTTGACTGGAAATTTATGTAGTATGTAATTGCATAATTAAGACACAATAACATGCCGAACAAATACTAATTCAGAAGTCAAACAACAAAAATCAGTGTTATATTTTCAAATTTAGTTTTGATGGTTTTACCGAACCACCATCGTCAGCTGCAAAAGCGCGGTGAATCCTATCTCGTTCATCAAGATAGGATATTATCCGGAAGCAGTTCTGCAGAGAACCCGGTAAATGTAAACATCGCCAACATTGGCGATAATAGTTCAAACCTGGTAACCCAGCAGATTTATCCTATTCACTTGTTCGAAGTTTGCAACCATTCCTCTTGTTCATTTTGTTGAATTATCACGGTCGTTGTTCGCATTTGCAGATTTGTATTACTCTTCTCTTATTTATTATTATTTTTTCTTAAGATAGATGCCAGTTATCGGTTCGGGATGAAAGGAAGAAAATACGGTGGGAGGGCTAATTTGTAACACGGCTGTTTACGTTGTGTTTTTAATTATTAACAGCTCTAAGAACCACAAGGTTTCCAACCTCTAAAATAATTTGTTTCCGTAGGCCGCTAAAATGTGCATTTTAAATAATTAAGTAATGCTTTTATTTTTATTATTGGTTATTGTCATCTAAAATTATGAGAATAAATCAATTTTTATGGTGTAAAATTTTAACAAGGTAATATATTGTTAATGCGTTTCTAACAATAACCTTTCAGAGGATGGCAGGTGTGACACAAATAGATTGTTAAATTGAAATAAAAAATATTATTGATTATATAAGATGACAGAATAGTTTGATGCATTATCATAGTCATAGGTGTAAGGAAAATATTGTTTTCTGCGTTAAATGGAATTTAAGACAACTTTTTTCGTTTATCACGTTTAACCGGTTTATTTCAGTATATTAATACTAATTTATATTTTTTAAATGAATTTTTATTTCCGTTATAAATGCTTATATATTGTCTTATGCTAAATATATTCTTTTCTCTGCCAACTTGAATTTAATACAAATTTACTTTCGTATATCACGTTTAACTGGTTAGTTTTACATCTACATGCTTATTAATTGTAAATTTTGCTACCATATGCTTAATATATTGTTTTGTCTGCTAACTTGAATTCACATGCACTAAAAATCACGTTTACAAAATATATCGTTTACGGCTCGGCTCATCGTCGCTGAACCGCGAGCTTGGCGAGTAAAAATGCAACAGCACCAACGGGTTCTAAAAATGCAACAGCACCAACGGGTTCTCTGCGGATGAAAACCCTATTATCCTATCTTGTTCATTTCATAATAATAATTGTATTATATAAATACATCACTGTCCTTTAAATTAGTTCCCGTAGTCTGCAATACACTTCTGACAATGTTCATATAAGTTCCTTTGAGACTGTGTTAAGTCCCTTGGTAACAGCAGCTTGAATGTCTGCAGATTCTTGAAAATCGGTATCCCTTTAGTGCCAATTTCAGTTGTGGAAAGAGGAAAACATTTGCTGGCGCAAGATCAGCACAAATTACTGAAAATAAGTTGTGAAATTGACACTAAAGGGACACCAATTTTCAAACATCTCAGACATTCAAGCTGCTGTTACCAAGGGACGTAACACAGTCTCAAAAAAGGACTTGCATGAACATTGTCAGAAGTGTATTGCAGACTGCGGGAACTACTTTGAAGGACAATGATGTATTTATATAATACAATTATTATTATGACATCAGCCTCCTTACTTTTTGGTCTCACCTTGTAATATGGGCTATGCAAAATACTGCTACTCAACCACTATGATGCACTAAAAGAAACCTCTTTGGACCATGGTTAAAAGTATACACCCACCTCAATCATAAAATTTTTTAATGTTCATATCACTCTCAAAGATACATTCTTCTTAGTAATACTGTTCAATCACAATTTCAAATGATCCTGTGCAGATGTTAGGGCTGAAATACCGACAGAATAAGCTTTTGTCTAAACAAAAGGCTTCAGATGTTTGAAATTCTACTACTGCTATTATGTCGATGACCATTTTCAGTGCATTCAAAGTTAATTTTATGCTTGGATCTTATAAATCTAGCATGCACTTTTTTTAGGTTCAGAATGATAAGACTAAAAGATATTGTAGCAGAAATTAAAATTCAGTTTCTTCTAAATAAGCTTTAAAACTACTTAAGTTTGACAAGAATTGCTATAATTAGACATAAAAAGGAAAAACTTTTCTAAAACATGAATTACTGGTATAACTGTAAAAATAATAAAATGCTCAAAGCTTTAATTCTATTTGTCATGAAACCTTGACAGGATTTATCATTTAAACGACCGCACAATATAATAAAATAAATTCTAATATGATTTAGAAGCTTTTTAACCAATAATGTTTTATATACAACAAAAATATTTTTAATCAGGAAGCGACACAATCCACTGAAAATTATTTAGTACGATAACGATGCTGCATAGCTACTAGTCACTTTCATGTAACTACTATTCTGTTTTTTAACAGAAAAGTATTCTTTCCTTTTTTAACGCTTAAAAGATCGAAATTATCTTATTTTTCATATCAGTATTTTTGCACAGACTTCCTGCTTTTCCCTCTCAAGAAAAAGTTACTTCCTCATCGTAAGAAACAATCCAACAATCTAGAAACCTGGTTTTAAAAATAAAACATTTCAGTCAGCTTAAGAAACGAAAAAAAACCTTTTGAACTGAATGAATTCATTCGTACCCCGAGAAGTATTTTCAGAAAATGAGATAACAGGGAAATTACCTACATAATCACATTACGTTTCTGCTAACAATTTTCAGGAATTATGGTTGATCAATTCATTTTAAATATAAGTTCAGAGGCGCATAATATACATCAAATTACATTTTAACATGAAGGTATGATTAATATTTTTTAGTAAATAACATTTCTTTGTTGAGCACGCCATGCATTGTGTAGCCTACGACAATAGAACGAACCCTAAAGGCATATCAAAAACCTATGATATAACTTACCTTTCGTCACCCATTTTAAACGCTTAGAGTAGTATATAATATTAAGTTTAATGTATAAAATACGGTTTTTCGACAGAAGTCTTCACTTTTTCTTCAAAGTGATGGAAATTCTCGTTCGATTTCACAGTGAGAAACCGCTAGAATGACATGCGCATAAGAAAAGAATTCAAAGTTGCCATTCTACAGAAGACAAAGACAAGATCTTTATTTCCTCTTCTTCGTTGCGATCGTAATAAAAAAACTGTTCTTTTCAATTATGCATTCCCTACATATCATTTTTTCGAAAACAATGAATCGAGATATTCGTTTACTCAATTTAATGTTATGTTATTGATTTTATTTACCAGTTTGATAACATAATAAGCTCTAAAGTAATATTGCAAACTAAGAGTTTTTCTTAGCAAGGTCGTTCTTAACGAAAGGGTGTCCCCAATTACGATCTCAACGCCAGTCAACTTAAAAGAACTTGTGAGAGAATAGAAGAGGAGAAATAAAGAATGTAGAAACTAGAAGGAAATTAAAAAGATGAAAAACATTTGATTAAGGTGGTTTATAACCCCTTTGACTTCCGAAAGTTAGTAATTGTACCTAAGAAGCTGAATTACCTTATTATTGTCTTTCACTACTAGATAAATCCACAGCAGCAGTGATTAGAAAACTCTCAGCAGCCGCCAATCCATAAAACACGCATTATGCGCTTTTCGAACGTGATATTCCTGTACAAAAAGTTAAACAATAACTAAACTGTAGGACGGCTAATTTCATAACTGAGCAATGTACTTAGCCGAAGTCAAATGAAATAGCTAGCAAGGGCGAGTTCCCGTATGACTCTGCCTTCTGCAAAAATTTAAAAAAGGTGAATCAGAGGCCGATGATAATTAAATAGAGGCTTTATTAAAAGATGGAATTTCACGCACATGGCACAGCCAACGACTTCATATAACAGGTAGAGGGCTCACCCACAGAGAATTCGTCTGCTAGGGTGTCTCCAACATATACCACGTGACTAATGCTCTTGGTGCTCTTGGGGAGTGATAGCTTAGGCTGTTCATCGCCAGTTTGGCCCGCTTTTGATATGACAGGTAGTGCTTTTTTTTCCGTCTGCTAGCAGTCAGCAGACAACGGCCTCGAATTAGGTTGTTCGATTTTTTACAATTATATTTAGATATAACTTAACCCCTTTTTTCCTGAATATTTTATCTATATTTTTAATAATCGCTTTAAATTATTTGCACCATTGGTTAAGATGTTTAGCTTAAATAATTTTAGGAAGAAAATCTAAAATAAATAATAAAAAATTGAGATGGAAACTTTAATTTTGAATAACGTTAAAAAATTAATTGCACTACTGTTATAATATTTGAGAAGGTAAAAAAAATCTCGTTTAATTTTAATGCATTGCATCCTAAAGAGAAAAAGAAAATCACATTGTATTATATGTATTTATGCCATTGATTGCCTCTCTTTTCTTGAGATTATATTACTGGAACAAAATAGTGCACTCTCTTTTCTTGAGATTATATTACTGGGACAAAATAATGCAATCTTAATTACTGATTTCCACACTCATGTGTATGTCATGGCGGGGATCATAACATCTTATTAACTATGACAAATATTTTATATTGAATATGTATCAAACGGTAACAAACTTCAAATCAGTATTTATTATTAGGAACAAAACGATATTACAGTTAAAAATTCTCTCACGCTCCTTTTTTTTAAATACTATTTAAAATATAGTAAGTTTTTCACATCACATTTTTTCAATTATAATAAATTTCTAACAGCATCGTAGATGAGACAGAATTATAATCCAGATTATTTTTATTTTAATTGATTTTATAGAAAATAATGATAAAGCATTGAGCTTTATAAAAGTAATCTGATTTTTAAAATAATGCTGTTTAACTGTTTATGTTCAATGTTGCATGAATCAAGATCTTCAGCTCTTTTTTTTTTAACAAAGTAAACATATCGCACAATCTTTTCTCAATAATTTAATGCTAATAATAGCATTTTTCTTTTTTATCGCAGGCAGTAATTGTTTATGAAATCAAAACGCGTACGACTTGGCGAAAAAAGGTTAACGCCAATTGGCGCAGCTTTCTATTTCAACGGAATACACGGAAAAAACATATAAAACTCAATTATTTGTAAAGGGTGATTCCAGTAAATAGTGTCACAGTATTTAATACATTTTGATGCTAATAATACATGCTGAAAATGTCATATACAGCGGGAATTTTCTTATACAATATGGCTGAAACTTTCCAACCAATTCAACAGAGATAGTAAAATGACAAAAATACTGAAAATAAAATAATAAATCATGCAGTTTTAACTTACCTATGAAAGGTTACAAGTCCTCCTTTCATGATACTTTCTTTACATCCGTAGGCGGTGCCGCGAATAACCATTTTACTTAAATTTTATGTGACCAAGCAGAGCAGCAGTCTTTCGTTCCATAGAAAGCAATGTAAAGTATTTCCGGACTCTCGGAATTCGCGCAGCAGTCACGTGACACTAATGTTGGAACCGGTTGAAGGTTGCAATACGCTCTCTACCAGTATACTATCTCGTTGGGCACAGCACGTTTCTACATATCACACCATGACCAAGAACTACTACAACTGTTCCCAGATCAACCTAAGTAAAAGTATAAAACAGTTACGGTTAAAATACATGACATTAAAACAAGAACGGGGAGTACGTGTGATTATTCTCAACACCCTCCCTTAATCACATATTATTTTACATTTATCTCTTAAATAACATAATCTTGGTTTAGGCAAGCATTTTGTAAACAAATCAGCTAACTGATTTTCACTAGAAACATATAGAAGATTTATATCACACAATTTTACAATATCCCTAATGTACTTTAATTTAATGTTCAAATGTTTTAGTCTAGCACAATTACTTTCATTCAATATTCCTTTAATTACAGACTGATTATCCTCATAAACCGAAACTTTAATATTGTCGACTCCTAAAATTTCTTTAGATACATTATAAAATACAGTTAGGTCTTGAATAGCTTTTGCTAAAGCCAAAATTTCTGCCTCAGTAGAGGACAGAGCAATAGATGTTTGCTTTTTAACAGACCAAGTTACAGGGCAATCATTAAAAAAAATAATGTACCCTGAAATATATTTTCTATCATTTGTATCTGACCCCCAATCAGCATCAACATAAACATTTATCATAATATCAACACTATTAGATTTACAAAATAATAATTTGAGTTCAGATGTCCCTTTTAAATATCGAAGAGATTTTGCTTCAGACCAGCCCAAGCACTGTTAGTGGGTTGCTTCTTGTATCTGACTCAGACAGTTCACAGAAAACAGAATATCAGGACGAGTTGTCATAGACATAGATACAGCCAAAGCACCTACAAGTTCACGATAAGGGCCATGAAATCTTTCACCATTCACAAAATTTGATGAAGTTGACTTAGGCACTAAAGGAGGAGTATCAGATGGCTTACAATCTAACATTCTAAATCTATTTAACAATTTTTCAACATAAGCCTTTTGGCCTAAAGTAAGTTTGTTTCTGTGAATATTCAAAGACACTATTCCTTAGAAATTCATTTGCAACTTCAGCCTTGGACATCTCAAATTCATTTCTAAGTAGTTCAATCACAATTTTTACCTCTGAATCATTAGAACTAGCAATTAGCAAGTCATCCATATACAGCACAATAAATATTTCACTCTGTTTAGTTCTTACTTAAAAGTACATGCTTCGCAGATTAGTGTTGAAGACTTGTTGAAAGATTACAGACTTGTTGAACAGAATTTCATTAAATTCTGAACCGTTCGGCCCTAAGCTAAAAAAAACTTCACCCCCAGGTCTTCGTTTTGTTTTCAACTTGAAACACCATTAAATGCCCGAAGCAGAAGTCGGTAAAAGTTCGAACACCGGTACCCTATCAGAAAATGACAAGATGGCGTTTTTTTTTCTCTTTCTCTCTGTGTGTCGTGTTATTCCATCCTAGGTTTTCTTCTCCCCCCCATCTTGGAAAAAAACTGGAAAAAATTGGTTACGATCTCTTTTTGAATGGGGAGATGCCATTTTGAGAAAAAGCTGACGACCCTATCTTGGAGAATGAACATGACCGCTCTACACACCCTTTCACTCTCTCTCTCTCTCTCTTGAATTGGGAAGCCATTTTGGGAAAAAAAGCAGACGACCCTATCTTGGAGAATGGAAATGAACGCCTCTCCCTCTCTCTTTGAAATGGGAAAGCCATTTTGGGACCCTCTATTCTTGGGGAGGGAGAAAACTGAAGTCTGCACTTTCGCTGTCTCTGAAAAAGCCCTTTTGGGAAAAGCCCTCTTCTTCTGATCTTGGAGAACTGGAAATGAACGCTCTACACGATCTCTCTTTGAATTCAGAAGGTATTTTGGGACCTTCTAATGTTGGAAAACTGAAATGAACGCTCTACGCATTCTCTCTCTCTCTCTCTTTGAGATGAGTAGCCATTTTGGAGGATTCTCCACCACCATCCTAACCTTGGAAAACTGAAATGAACGCTCTACACCTTCTCTCTCTCTTTCTCTCTTTCTCTGAAATGGGTAGTCATTTGAAAACTCCCTAACTGAAAAAAAAACAGAAATGAACGCTCTACACCATCTCTCTTTGAAAATGGGGGGGTGTCATTTTGAGACCTCCCTCCCCTAAACTTGGAAAAAAAAACTGAAATGAACGCTCTACACTTTCTCTCTTTGGACATGGGTAGCCCTTTGGGGACCCTCTCCTCTTGGTAGGAAAAAAAAAGAACTGAAGTGAAGGCTCTACACAATCTCTCTTGGAATGGGATCCATATTTCGGGAAACGTGGATCACCTCATGCTGGAAAACTGAAGTGAACCACCAAGATTGGACTCTATATAATATTTTTTTTAATTGACATCATGACCCTCCTCCAATTTGTTATTAAAAAAAGTTGTTTTTTTTTGTTTTGGTTTTTATCCCATTTCCGATGTGATTTCAGAAATGCAATTCCATAACAGTTCAATTTCATTCGAGGTTAAATGATCTAAACAGTCTTTGACCCACCCATCCGTATGATTATTTTCTTCTCCTTCCTGTTGCACCAAATTTTGTAAGTCCATATAATCATTCCATACGGGAAGGGCTGGATCCTC